AATAAACGGGGGTTATAACAATCCGAGGTATTGTACATGAATTCAGTGAACAATATACACTTTTGTGCATTCCTTTGTCCTATCTCAATAAAAGGAGCTCTCTGGGTCGCCTCATCCCGAGAAAGCTCGTGTCCGTGTCTTTTCTCAACATTGGCCTCATGGGCGACCCACGGGTACTTCACAGACCACTAGTGGTCTACGGACCACCAGTTGGTGACCGCTGCCCTAGAGCAAGGCTTCCCAAACTTGGCAACTTTGAACACGTGTGGACTTCAATTCCCAGAATTCCCCAGGAAACCATGGCTTGAGAAAAACCTGTCCTGAAGAGTCTCTTCTTTTTTTTCCCCAATGGTGTAATCGTTCTGCAATGTGTGCAATTTGAAAAAGTGCACACTCTGTTTTTGCTCCTTCAGGAAGAGGAGTGATTGTCCTGACATGCCATTGGTGCCTGTTATAATTATACGTAGAGAGTTTGCGGGTATTTTTGTTTTGATTTGCTTTGCATGGGCTGATCTGCAGAGACAGAGGTATGCGCAAATTTGCTGACTGTTTAATTGGCTGCTGCTAATCGTCAATTAAAATGACTTCGCCGACTAATCCTAATCTTGTAACTCCAGAGGGAATAATCTCATCCTTGCCTAACATCCAGATGTGATGAAATTGCAGCCTTGAGGGGAGGCTGATTAAATATCTGAAGAGCTGCAGGCTGACACACGTAGTCCTCGACTGAGTTTTGTCCCGTTTAATGACCTTTCCCGCTGCAGTTGTTAAATGAATCACTACAGTTGTTAAGTTAGTAATACGTTTGTTAAGTGAGCCTGGCTTCCCCATTGACTTTGCTTGTCAGAAAGTCATGAGAGAGGATCCCAAGCGACCCCCGGACACTGAAACGGTCATAAATATGAGTCAGTGGCCAGGCATCCGAATTTTGATGACATGGACATGGGGATGCGGCAATGGTTGTGTGAAAAACGGCCATAAGTCACTGTTTTCAGTGCCTGAAAATGACATTAAACGAATTGTTGTAAGTCAAGGACTACCTAGGGAAGGGTGTCAGATTGGGAATTCTGAAACTACGTCTTGCAGAATCCAGATGTGTAGGTAAACAGAATCACATCATGCCACAAACACTTTGCATAGTGAGTATTGCTCTCCTTTCCACTCCCAAGTCCACATCATGCCAAACACTTTGCATAGTGAGTATTGTTCTCCTTTCCACTCCCAAGTCCACAGGGAGAGCTTCTAAGGTGGACTGATGGATCCACCAAGAACGATCAAAAGGAAAGGAAACAAGTGCACACACCTCTAGAACCAAAGAAGGGCACAATCCTTGCCAGCCTCTTTATCAGGAATTGGGTGAAATACTAGGCAGTTACACAATTAGACCAAGGAGTCACATTCAGAAGGCTTCTTGGCAAGATCCTTGGACTGGGAGATTGGCTAGCAAAACAGAGACGGGTGCTCATGTACCATACACACTGGCTGAGGAACACTTAAAAGTACACACGTTTTGATGCATGCCACAACACTCACAACCGAGAGGATCCTTACAGCAGCTGGAGAGACGGCACCTGTTGAAAACTGCCTTCCAAGACCTCGGTGAAGCCAGAGCGAATGAGACACCTGAAAGAGAGAGAGATACAGAGAGAGAGAGAGAGGAGGGAAAGAGGGAGGGGGAGAGAGATAGGAAGAGGAGAGGGGGAAGGAGAGAGAGAGATAGGAATAGGAGGGAGAGAGAGAGAGAGAGGAAGAGAGAGGATGGAATGAGGGAGAGGAAGAGGATAGAGAAGGAGGGAAGAGGAGAGGGGGGAGAGAAAGAGATAGGAACAGGAGAGAGGGAGGGAGAGATGGGTGGGAGGGGGAAAGAGAGAGGAGGGAAAGGAGAGAGGGAGAAAGAGGATAGGGAAGAAGGGAGGGGGAAAGAGAGAGGAGGGAATGAGGGAAAGGAGAGAGGGAGAAAGAGGATAGAGAAGAAGGGAGGGGGAGAGAGGGAAGGAGGGGGGAGAGAGGGAGGAAGAGGGGGAGGGGGGAAGAGAGAAGATGGAGCGGGAGAGAGGAGGGAAGGAGGGAGGGAGAGAGAGGAAGAGGAGGGTGGTAGGGAGAGAAGGGGAGAGAGGGAGAGAGAGAGAGATTCTCAGCAACAAAGCAATTATACCATCACCTGGTCCAAAGGAAAGGACCACATCAATTCCTCCTGGCTTAGCCAGAAATCTACCATCAAGAGGCTCCTTGGATAGCAATCCACAATTCTGAATGTTGCCATCTGAACCCTCTCTCCCCCGTGGGGGGACAAGACAACTTTCCTGGAGCCAGCTTTACCTGGAGGAATTTACCTGCATTGCCTTGAGGCGCATTTGCGTGCATGGAGGTGTTATGTCTGGCAATATTCCAAGTTTCAAAGGGGGGGGGCTTTGTCAAGCTGCATCCAATTTCCTCAGGGGATCTGCAATAATTTGGGCACAGTGGGGGGTGGGTGGGAGGGAACTCTGGCAGCTGCCAATTTCAGCAATGCTGCCCATCCTGTCAAGGAGGGACATCTTTCCATGATTTAGGGATGCCAGCGTGCTGCTGTTACCGATTAAGATCTGGATGAGAGAAATCTAAATTGGCATTTTTTCCTGACTCAGGTTGAACCTGGACCAGTGGCTTTTTCCTCAGCCTCTCTTCTTTCAGAGGGTTGTTGTTTTGGGGATCCAGTGATGCAAGATTTGCTGGAAACTGCCCCATTACCATAGATATCCCCCCCCCAAAAAAAAACACCACACTGGAAGAAAACAGAGGAAACAGCTAGATGTTAAGGTACCCTACTTTTAGGAGGTGAGTCCCTAGGAAGAAGGGAGAGGATGCACACTGAATTTCAGCCCTCCTCAAGCAGAATTTGTGGTTTTTTGGGGTGTCCTCCGGATTAAAATCCATGTCTCCCCAGCCACATCTCCCTGCTAACCTGCTTTCCATCATTGCACCAGAGGTGCAGCAACGGACTAAGGGGAAGCAGTGCACTTCCTGGGGCTTCCTGCTAGCTCAATGTCCCAGCCTCTTCCCCGCCACTTCCAGCTCCCTCTCCCTCCCCTCCCCATCCAGAGACCCCCACAAAAGTTGCCCTCAACTCTCCAGGCAAGGTTAGCCTTGAAGTAAGAGTTCGGACTCTGCCAGAAGTGCAGACCTTGGGCCTGTTCCCACGACCCCTTTCATGGCAGTTTTTAGAAGATGGGGAGGAAGGGCAGCCCAGCGGGGGGGGGGTCTTCCTTGGGAGAAGGGGGTGTCTATTACTCCTGGGAAGCCCCCAGCCCCCAAGCTTTAATCTTGGGAGAGGGGTCCATGTAGCTGTGAGCCTTGATCTTGGAAGAGGGAACCAAGTAGATTTCAGCCTTGATCCTGGAAGATCTTGGAGCTGGTAGATTCAATGTGTATCATCCGGGAGATCCACTAGCTCTTTTGCTAAGCAAGGAGGGATTTTTTTTTAAAAAAGGAAGGAAAGTAGATGGGGGGGGAGGTTAAAAAAAGCCCCCTCCCCTCCCCTCGCCCGGAGAAAGCTTACAGGGAGATGAGGTTGGGGGGCAGATCGCGGGGGATCTCCTTGACTCCCTCGCACAGCGCCGTGTCCTTGGTGCAGGTGCAGCCCGACGCGCATCTTCTCTTAGGAGGTTTCCGGCCGGCGCTCGGCTGTTGCCCGGCCAGGAGCAGCAGGACCGCCAAGACCAGCAGTAGCGACGGAGCTCCGGTTCCGACGAGCCTCCGGCTCCAGCAGCCCATCTTGCCGGCCGAGCGGAGCGGGGGCGCAGCGACAGGGCTCCTCGCTGGCTCTTTCGCGGCCTCCCCCCCCCCCGCTTTGCCCGGGGGGGTCCAACCGCAAAGCGGAGCGGGGGCGCGCGCGCGACCGGCTTGCCGCTTTCGCTTCTCCTCCTCCTCCTCTTCCTCCTCCCGCGGGCTCTGCTCCTCAGCCGAGAGCGATCCACGCGCCGGGCTCCCAGGCAGCTTTGGCACAGCCGCCACCTCTCGGCCGGCTCGAGCCGCTGCCTGGCCCCATCCCAGCCTCCCGGGGAGGAGGAGGCGGGAGGCCCGCCGCTGCCGCCGCTTCCTGCGCGCCCTGCCCTCCCCTGCCCCTCCGGCGAGCAGGCTGCGGGCTTCTCTCCTCCGCTCGCCGAAGAGAGAGAGAGGGAGGGAGAGGAGGGAAAGAGAAGGAGGGAGGGAGAGAGAGAAGAAGGGAGAGGAGGGAGAGAGGGAGAGAGAGAGAGGAGGGAGGGAGGGAGAGAGAGAGAGAGAAGGAGGGAGGCAAGGAGAGGAAGGCAGGAAGAGAGAGGAGGAGGGAGGGAGCGAGGGGGAGGCAGGGAGAGAGAGAAGGAGGGAGAGGAGGGAGGAGAGGGAGACAGGGAGAGAGAGAAAGAGAGAGGGAGAGAGAGAGAAGGAGGAAGAGGAGGGAGGGAGAGGAGGAAGGGAGAGAGAGAAGGAGGGAGGGAGAGGGAGAAGGAAGGAGGGAAAGAGAGGGAGAGGATGGGAGGGAAAGAGAGGAGGGAGNTGACAGTTATCAGCTGCCTTCGGAGTCAGACATCAGAGAGTTGCCAGATGAAGGAAACAGCTAAAGAATGGGATCAACTTGGGAGTGAAGTTACAGGTGGACGGTGAATGGCCCCTCCCAGAGGAACTAAAAGAGGAGCGGAAGGGGAGTGGAGTTTGCAGGAGGCAATTAGTTCATTCCTGCATTCTTGCCAAGTATTGCAGCATCTGAAAGAGATCGGCCTGGCCACAAGACTGAGAAAGGTCGGTAATTGTGACCTCTCTTGAAAGACTGTGGGAGAGTAAAGGCTTTGTTGGAGGGGAATCCACTGTCAGTGAAATAAAACGGGTTTATCGGGATGAGGACTCGGCTTGGTGCCGCTGGGGAAGCCTCGGTCAGAACAGAAAGGGACATACAACTGGTAACTCACACTTACGTCCGTTGCAGCAACCCCAAGCTCATGTGATCAAAATTGGGCACTCAGCAACCAACGTGCTCAGGAAATCCTCAACTTACAACAGTTTATTTCCTTGCAAGATCCGACTTTATTTAGGGATTGTTCAGAGTTACGACGGCACGACCAAAAAAGTGAGTTATGACTGTTTTTCACCCTTAAGACCTTTGTAACAACCCCGTGGTCAGGTGATGAAAATTCAGAGGCTTGGCAACTGGCATGTACTTACGACAGTTTCAGTGTCCCGGGATCAGATGATCCCCTTTGGCGACCAGCGAAGTCAGATTCGCTTAACGACCGTGTGACTAACTCAGCAACTGCAGGGGCTCCCTTCACAATTGTGGCAAGAACGGTTCGTCAAACGGGGCAAAATCCCCTTAGCAAATGCCTCGCTCAGCAACGTTAGAAATACTGTGCTCTGTTGTGATCATAAGTTCGAGGACTGCCTGCATTTACGACGGATGTGGCACCCCAGGCTCTGTCATCTCCATTTGCAACCTTCCCAGCTGGCTTTTGACAAAGAAACTCGATGCAAGAAACCCGTCAGACTGGGTGTGACTCACTCTTATGTCCACCTTGCTTAGCAACGGAAACTCCCGGCCCTAATTGGGGGCGCTAAGATGAAGGCTTATCTGTGGCGCAATTAGAATTCCTTCCAAATTTTGCTTTTTATTTTAGCCTGAAAGATTTTTATAAAGAGAAGGACTCTCCTCGTCTTAACAGTTTCGATGTCGTCTTTCGGGGTAATTCCACTTTAAAAAGACACAACCTGTGTGTGCAGGGAAACAAAGGAAATTGCATTGGGGCATCAGTGGAATTCGCAACCGTCTCTCTAATATATCACCGAGTATCTGTTATATTAGCCGCGTTTGGGAAGCCTTGTTTTGGCGAAGCAGCTTCGGCAGGGAGACAAATCAAATTGACATTAACCGGGGTGAGAAGCCGGGCGTTTCCTAGCCGAGATGATAAAACCCGGAGACCTGCTGTGAAATAACCCTGGTGTTTCTGGAAAAGATTCCTATTATAACTTCAATTTACTTTCCAGAGCTGAAAATAGCTCCTTTCCACTTTTCCCTGACAGGAACCTTAATTAAAACAGCTTGTAAACTACAAAAAAAAGTGTGATTCCGCTTTCTGCTTTTCCCCCATATTTGCTTTCTTCTGCAGCCAGATGGGTCCAAAATATTCCTTTCTGGGTGCACTTAAGTTGATTTTCGGAGCCTTATAAACTCTCGGGCGTCTTTTACACACACACACACACACACACAGACCGAAAGCCTGGGGGATTTCGGGTTTTCTCTGCTACGAATTCTTTGCCGCCGTCTCTAGTTCTATAAAGCTTTTTTTTCCTCCCTCCCCCCCCCCAATGTTTCTTCAGCTGGGGGCCATAATGAAAAAGGAGCCTTAAAACGCAGCGCATAAATCTTCTCTAAATAACCAGCCGTGGAAACTTGAGCATCTATTTTTCCCCCCGTTGCCAAGGCTGCCATTTGCAATTTAGCATCGCTCAAACGGAGTCCTTGGAGCTTTGCGGAATCCAGCCACCACCACCCCAGAACCCCCCTCCTTAGTTAAACTTTCTTCCCTCTGATTCATTGGTGTGTGTGTGTGGGGGGGGGGTGTTTGGCTTCCGGTAAGTCCTCGACGTACGACCACAATTGAGCCCCTCACTTTCCATCGGCTCAGCGAGACAAGTTGCGAAATGGGTTTCGCTGCATTTCAGCCCCCTTTTCTCGCCACCGTTGTTAAGGGGGTTACTGCCGTTGTTCAGTGAGTCGCACAGGTCGTGAAGTGAATCTGGCTCCCCTCCCCCCTTTTGACTCGACTCGTGGGAAGGTCACGAAAGGGGACAGTGGGGACACTGTCCCGGGACAGTGCGACCGCCGTAAGTATGGATCTGTTGCCAAGCGTCACGTGGCCAGTTGTAAATGTGAAAAAATGTCCATGAATATTTTTTTCCTGTGCCGTTGTAACTTTGAACAGTCACTGAATGAACCGTTGTGAGTTGAGAACTGCCTGTACCCCATACACCAGGGGTGGATTCCTACCGGTTCGGCTGAGTAGGTAGTAACTCAGGCAGCCATGGGCCCGAACCAGCTGTATGGCACCGCCGTCTTGTTTTTTTATTTTATTTTATTTTTTNGGGGGGGGGTTATTGGTTGTTTATTTTTGCTTCTGTCGATTCAGGAGTCTCTGAGCTTCTACTGATGTCCTCCAGAAGTATTAGAATTATAGTTCTTACCGGTATTTTATTAACATGGTGCTGGAATACCAATAGGTTTAGAAGACTCACGATGGAGGCAACTGTTCTAAATGTGGTTTAAGTTTGCATCCAAGAAATAGTGATGAAGTCAATGGTCTAAATGTTGAGTGGAGATTCTCATCCATCATGGTTGTCCTAAAGGTGCTTTTTTTCAAAAGGCAACTGGACTTTGTCCACAGAGGTGGAAGGATACAACAATACCTATTTCCAGTCCACAACGTAGTCCTTTCAGCAGTTCCACACCCATTTCCGCTACTCAGGTGACCCTGGAAACACAGATAAACCTCCAAGGGGCACAATGACTCCCAGAGAGAGCACTAATAACCAGAGGATTGCAAGGAATATATAAACCCTTCCATTCCTCACCATTCGGTCAGAGCTGAAGAAGCTTCCTGCGTGAGAAGGGAAACAACTTTAAGGGAAACCAAAAACCCAGTTGCCTTTTGAAAAAAGCACTTTGGGGGGGTCAATGGTGTGTGAAATTTTGTGTGAAATTCATTTAACCGCAAAGTCGTCCTCATTTTAGCCTGGACAGTCTTTCTTTTAACAATTAGCACTTGTGAAGTTTTCGTTTCAAACATCCATTATGCCTTTTATGTCTGGCCTGTTAGGTGACCCGCCTATGAGTGGGAAATGGGGTTTGTTTTTTTAAATGTTCTTCCTTTGAATACTTCAGAGTTTACAGCCTTCAGAACAGACTGTTAAATAGCAACCCACTGGGATGATTGTAGGGGAGACAAGTTTGGCAGTAAACATGTTCGCTAACATTTGAAAGCCCTAACAAATTAGCTGCAGAACAAATACAATCAAGTCAATAACAGATTCCATCATCATAACAGATTATCTGAATTATCAAAGTTTAAAGTACAGTAAATATATATATATACAGTGCTATCCTGGCTAACTAATTTCATCTTGTACAATGTCTTGATGAATTGTTATACATCAGATTAGATTAAATTAGATTAGATAAATCTTTAGGCCACTGGTGTCATATGTTTGCGGCCAAGTAAGCAATTTTGAAGTAGAGTAACTTTGGGGGCAGGAATCGGGGACAAAACCTAGCAGCATTCAGTGATCTTTTGAACACCTAACAACCTTATTTGTATTCCCAATTAATTTGCCCTATTTACTAGCAACTAATAGAGCGTGAAAATGAAAATTGTCTCCACTCAGTATGGAAGATTAGTGTTGAAAGGAAAGCTTCCATGCTATGCAGGAATCAACTACAGAGTAGCAGGCAAAAGCCAAGTGTTGTGTTGTGTTGAGGTCCAGCTGGAAGTGGTATAGATACCTCCTGTCCTCTACCTGCCCAACCCCAGCTATATAAATCATGCTCCCCCTTACTAAAAGTAGCCCTATCTGTCAACGGTAAGAAGTTTAGGAAAGTTGCACAGGGAATAATATTAAGATGGTGACTCTCCTTTTTCCTAGTTGTTTTGTTGAGCTCTGGTCCAGGTTATACTCCACCTTGTGAGGAAACATCAAGCTGTCATGGGGGAGAGAGACACATGCTGAAGTCCTGTGTCTTCTGCTCGCTTGGTCCAGAGGATCTAGAAGTGGTTCTGGTGGACTGGAGTGGAAAAGGAGCTCTCCAGTTTTTTCAATTCTGGGTCGCTTCTGAATAGGCCACCTTCGCTGGTGGGTTCAGGAGGACTGTGGGTGTCCTATGACTCCAAGA